TTGCAAAGAATCTGCTAGGGAGAGGGAAGTGCAATAAGGAGGTAGTAAAGGACAGAGGGAAATGGAAAGAACTGCGGATCAGCTAGAGAATGTAATTATGAAGGGACAGCTATGCAGGGATCTGCTTTCTAGTCCTGGAGACCCCCAAGTTGATGATGATGGAGGACATCGACATCCCATTTTGTGTTTTTGGGTTTTGTTTTTTTCTTGGCATGATAGAGTCCTGTTAGCATTGGAGTTAACTAAGCACACATAAAATATTTCTGTACAGAACAACATGCATTCCTCCTTCCCAAACTTCATGCACCCCACTGAAATTTTCTGATTCATCGGTCTCTGTGCCTCAAATCCCTGAAGGCTCCAGCCCAGTGTGCATAGTCTCTGTCTGTAGCAGAACCTGTGTATGGCTGCTTTCTCTGCCTCCATTTTTTTGAATTTGCAGTGATCCTTGAGTTGTAACCACCATGTTCAAAGACAACCAGAAGTCAGTTGTGAGCTGTGTCTGAGGATCGTGCTGACCATTAACATTTAGAAAGGATAGCGGTTTGCAGAGGGAAGCCAAAAGCTATTCACTTTCTACTACGCTTCCAGCATCCCGTTTAGGTTGGTTTAATGCCTAACCTACGCTGCAATTGAGGTTAGTGCTTTGGTTTTCCTTCAAGTTCCAGTTCTCCATACACTGTTCTGTTTGCAACATTTGCTTGACATGACTGTCTGGTATGGTTTGATGGTGTTTTGCTAGAATTCCTGTGTGTACAGAAGCTAATAAAGGAACTGTCAACTCAGAAAGCCCATCTTAAAATATGGTCCTCCTGGCTTGGGATGAGAAATGCAGAGATCTCTTGCCCAAGCCTCTTCTGTGGAATTTGTGACGCTATTTCAATTCCTTTGGTTTCCAGTAACCAAACAACCCTTGGGGTCAAGCAAAAGTCAAGGTATAAAAATTCATTGCTGTGAGCCTCCTTACCTCTAAGCTGGCCGTATGTTAGAGGAATGATGTGGCCTATAGCAGTTGTCTTCTGTCTCTTGATGGGTGTTTGTATGCATAATTCAAATGTGTGAGTGTGGGTGAATTCTAGCTTGTATTGATTGAATTGGTCTCTGATAATAAACAGTATAAATAAATCAGATGGGAGTTACAGCACTGATGTGCTGTATGGGGGGAAAAATTAAATTTAGTGCAGTGACCTTGAGCAGAATGTAATTTCAGAAGTGCCTTAAATATGCTGATGATATAAAATAAGGCTGAGGAAGTTGGAGGGGCAGGAGGGTAGGGGACAGAGGAGCAAAACAAACTCATTCAAAATGATTTGGATTTATCAGGATTACAGGCAGATAAGTGGCTTATGCAGTTTATTGGAGGCAAGTATGAGGTAATGAGGCCAGGGACCAAAAGTAATCAGACTCCAGTTGGAGTGAGAGCAGTGTGGAATACAGATCAGAGCATGGCGAAAGGACCTTGCAGCACTGAGGGAAGTCTTGTCTATGGTGTCTTGATGCTTCTCTTTTCCCGGAGCTCAGCTCCACAGCTGTGCTCGCTGCATGGCTGGGAAATGGCTGGTCCTGCTCAAGAGGTTCCTGTTCAGCATTGTCAATCCATCAGCCAGCTTGTAAATGAGAGCTGGGCTTAAAATTATCTTTTTCTTTGAAGATCTCCAAATACAGTTGTAGCTCTTTCTGGGAGCAAACCAAGTAAAGCAAAGAGGAAGATGGAGGGAAGACAGCCATGCCAGCATGAATTAGAGAGACAGAGTCATGCCTTATCTATTGGCATAAAACCATGCAGGAATCCTTTCATGCTGGTTTGACCAAACAAAAATCCTTCACAGGCTATAAGATGAATGTCTGCTAGTTGCAGATGAATAGAGGAGAATCCAGCTTCTGATGGTACAGGAAACATCAGTAACTGAACTGCCTAATATTCCATCACATGGGCTTTACACTAGAAAAATAAAAAAATGTATTGTTTCAGACTAACGAGCACCCTGCTGGGCCACAAGAAAGCAAAGATAAATTGGTGAATCTTTCCAGTTGGCTAATCTGGAGGTAGATTCTGTGGTTCTGAAAGTACTTGTTTTCTTCTGGTTTTCTTTACTACTTTTAGTTATAATGTCTATTTTCATTTTTTTAAATGTTTCCTTTGTCCCCTAAATTGTAAGCTTTAGATTCTTGTCAGTTGTGGCCAAGTAGCTTGAGAAACCCAGTCAAAGGCAAAATAATAGAAGGAGAGCTTTCTGCATTTAAGTCCTTTTATGTCCTTGCAGCTTTCTTCATTCTGTTAGATAACACTAACCACCCCTGTTTAAGTGCTTTCTCAAACGTGACCTATATCTCTAAACATCATTTTTACACTTATTTTTCACGGAACAGATTAGATATTTGAAAACACAATCTTCCTGTTTTACCTTTTACTGCCCCAATTTCATTTATATCCAGAAAGATTCCCACTAGTTGATGATCTTAATACCTAGAGCATATCAATAACATATAGACTTTTCTTTTTCTTTGCATCCTCGCTGCTTGGTGCTGTGTTAGATGGAAATCCATCATTGTCCAGAAGCCATAGTTGAGTAAGGCAGTGAGGAGGTACAGGGAAAGCTGAACTGGGAGCAACAGAAGATAAGGCAAGTCACAAATGATAACTTGCTCTCATACCCTAATCTTATGTCACATCAGAATTAAGTCATGAATGGGGAGTGGTGAAAGAATCCTTGGGGAAATAGAGATGCACTTGGAATTTTTCCTTTTCTGAGTCTCTTCAGACTTCTGTGGCCTCTGATTAACGTTTTGCCCAGTTCAGTGTCCCTGCGTGGGATACTGGAAGCACACTGGATGCGCTTTGAGACGTGCTCTACCTTACCCAGAGCCATATATCTTCCTGTGATTGCTTATGTTGTTGTAATAATAATGAAAGAAAGATGACCTCCATACTTGTACCCCATGTTTCTGTTCCGTTGGTTCTCAACAGCAACTGCTCAGTGTTAGTTAGAATCTGCATCCTTGGAGTTCTGTTGTCATTTGGGCTGTTGTCACACACTTAGCTAATACCCCCTGGTAATTTTATTCTTTATTCACATGCACACTTAATGTCCTTAGTCATTAGACTGAAAAATGTTAACCTTGTCATAGTTAGTGACTGGAAGCAGAAAAGTCCATTTAATTCTCAGGGGAATGAATTCTAATTTTCTGCTTGTCAGAAAGTGACAGTTTACATATTTTTCTCTTTTTTTTTTTTTTTTTTTTTTCACCAGTTTAGTGCTAAATTTAAATGTGTGTGTCATAGGAATAGACCTTTTGTCTGTGCTAAACACCCCAAAAGCCTTGGAGGGTATCCAACGTATGAGACTCTTGACCAATAGCTGCTGCTAGAGCTCATTTCACGCACTGAAGAGAATGGGAGGTGAGAAGGAAAAGTTAGAGATAAGAGGTCCTTGGAAAGGGCACATTAGCATTGCACGTTAGAATGCATTTTTTTTCCACCTGGAAAATATGGATGAAAAGCAGCTCATCTGGAATAAAATATCCCATGAAGAGACAAATTATGTTAATCAAGCAGGCTAGTACTAATATTTGTCACTAAGATGTGACACCTTCTATTTAATGTCGCAAACAACTGGGAGCATTTGAAAAATGTACTGGTTGGAAGGCAACTTGTCTGCAGCTATTGAGTTAGCTGTTCTGTGAAAGGGAGTAACTTGGGTCTTGAAAAATAGATGGCATTTATGGCAAAGAGAAATAATCCTCCCCCAGATTACAGCTGTTCACTGCGCTGTTGTCCTGGTGGTCTTATCTCATCAGTAGATGTTTTATAAGGTTCTTTTTTATTTTTTTTTTTTGATACATTTCCATAAGGCTGTTCTGAGAAGGACATTGAGTGCTGGGAGCTGGATGTATTTTGAGAAAGGGACACCACTACAAAGAACTCTGAGTCTAAATTGAAAAGATGGATGAAGTAAAAATGAGGGGTGGTTATTTTGCTTTTTACAGATGGGAACTGAAGCAGGGGAGAGTGACTGTTGTGGCCAAAGTCACCCTGGGAGTCCGTGGAATTGCATCCTGATCTTTGAAGTCCAGTTCCGGTATCTTTACCATATATTGTCTTTCTGTTCCGTTGCTGCTGAATGTAGATTTAATATGCACATGTGTAATGAGCCAAACATGTTCTGTGCATATGTTTAGCCAAATTCTGACCTTAGGGACGCGAGGCAAGCTCTCCCTGATCTAGTTAGGAGTGCTTTCATGGCTGGGCTCAACCCAAGGAGTGCAAAACAGTGTTGGCATTTAGTTGATGAAACTAAAGCCCTCCCTGGGCTTGAAGCTCAGTTCGTCTGCCTGTTTGGTGTTTTAACAAACTTGAGCTTCTTGTGGGCTCTGGAGAAGAGATGGCAGGCCAGTGGGTAATGAACTGCCTGGCTGGTTGTCTGACCTCTGGTATTGTCTGTGCACCAGATGCTGATTAATGATTAGCGTGTAACAAATCAATAAATCAATACCACAAACAAATAAACCATCCTTTCAGAGGCCTGTCAGGTCTCTCTCTCTGTCAGAGGAGAGGCACGCTTGCAGGCATTACATTCTTCACTGTACATAAATGCCTCTGGACTATGTGCTATCTTGACACCTTGCAGATATGATGCACAGATGAGTTAATTATATTCCGTAGGTAATTTGATATATGCTGAAAAATACATTTGAAGTTTTTTTGCTAAGTTTTGTTCTATGCAGATGTTCCTGGAGGGACAGGTGAGTGGTCAGCACAGTAAACATGGGCTCAGGAGGAACAAGTTCAAAACAGAAAGATTTGGCTCACTAGGTTTGAAGACCCTTTCTCATATTCGGATGCTTTTATCACATCCATGACTACTGTCTGCATGTGCGTTACTGAGCTCTAAAACAACCATAGCAACACTGCCAAACATATACATGGAATGAATATAAAATACATTCCAAATAATTGGAAGTATTTTTGTAATTTGGTGTCTTCTGTGTTCCACAAAATCTCAAGAGATTGTTAACTCCAGCAGAACCAGTAAGCCAATAGGTGCACACAGCAGTACAGAGTCTGGCTCCCCAGCAGAAAACGGAGCAGAACCAGTTTGGTAATGCCTGTCACTGTTGGCAGTTAATGACTGATTAGCAATGGCTCCAACGGTGCAAGTGAAAGGAGACTTAAAAGTAGATTTAGGCAATCCTTTCTCCTTCTTGAGTCCTTTAAGTGTAAAACATTGCACAAATGCATGAGGGACATTTTACTTGTGATTTGCTGGGTATGAAGGTTGTTCCCTTTCAAGTTGAATAGCACTGACCTAAGGTGCAGGAGTCAGTCTCAAGCTGTCCACTGCTAGGGGCTATCCCATTAAAATGCTTATTTTTGATTAAACAAACAGAAGGACAAACAAATGTGGTGAAAAACCTGGTTTGGTCAGAAGTATGGTGGGAGCTGGTGAAACTTTTATCATTTGCATTAAGTAACTGAAATTTTTAAGGACACAACTCTTGGAGAACAAACACGTCAGCAGTGCTCCTTGAGAGCCAAGTCAGTGTCCAGTTTGCACTGCACTGTGCTTGCTTTACCCTGGCACTGTCCCCTGGTCCGAGCTGGCTCCAGAACCCCCAGAAGCATAGGCTAAAGTGAATTTTCTCACCCTAAAGATTCTGGGCCCATCTCCTGATGCTCTGAGCAGGGAGTAGAGTTCTTCCTCCTTGCAGTCTCCGACCCAGCAGGACCACTGCTCCTACACCCTCGTTTTTCCTGGGACAGAAGCAGCACAGCCAGCCTGACTTCTCAGCACTTGTGCTTAAGCAAAGACGGGCCCCTACAGATGTGTTGCCGCAGAGAACTGCCAACTTTGCCTGTGACTACAGCCAGGAAAGAAATGAGGAGGGAGACAACATCTCTCTGCCCAGGTGAACCAAGGAACACCATCCTCCCCGCTTTCTCTCCCCTGTCAGCTGTATCATGGCTCTGCTAAGAGACTGTAACTATGTGGGGTTTGTTCATTAAGCAAGCATCACGCTAAGATAGAAGCTGTAATGCACATGATGGGGAGCTCAAAAAATCACTGCAGCTTTCACTTAAACAAAGGACATGACTGCTCTGGCAATAAGAGCATAATGGCTGCTTAATTTTTCCAGACAGGGACTGTATCTCACTGGGGTTTTTTGGGCTCTTGCTTTGTTTTTGTTTTTGCTCCAGCTTTTAAGGATGAGAATGTTGTGTCTGACGCATGTCAGCAAGCAAAGGAGATTCAGTAGCGTAGCTGGGTTCATCTCGCTCCCCGGTGAGGAATAAAAGCATTAACCGTCTCTCACTTCAGGAGGAGAAGGGGGAGCTGTTTTCAGCATGCGAGAAGTGAGAAGGCATTGTCAGGTTTAGGTCAGGCTGGAGCGCAGGGCTGTGCAGGGCTCGCAGCAGGACAGATTAGCTGGGTGTCACACGGCAGCCTGGAGGCATCATTCGGAAAAAGCAAGAGTTTCAAGAGTGTGTCCAGGGAGTGCGGGCTGCCACGTCTTGTTTTGGTGCAAGGCTGTGCTGTACAGCAGTGATATTTCTGAAAAGCAGACTCAGAAAATAGATCGAATAACGTGCCTTTCTCAGGGTAGCAGAGAGAGAAAATGGCCATATTAGATCTTTAAATAATGCTGTTATCAGAGCTGTTAAAGACATTGCTGAACCAGAGTCCTGCCCAGCCATGTTTAATCCAGTCTGGTACCTGTAAGACCTGATCCTGCAGTCAGCTGCCCCCAGTGAAGCTGGTGTGAGCAGAGCCACCTAACTGAAAAAGATGGGGGGGGGGAGGAATGAAGATTCTTTCTGTTCTGTTTATTTTTTCATGGTTGCATCTGGGTTTGTGCTTTGAAGTTCTCAGGTTTATTTCAATCTTCAGTGAATCTTTATTTCCCTTCTTTAGTGAAGCAGATGAAGCATGGAGGGGGAAGATATGAGGGAAAGGGCCAAATTCAAAGTGGACTCAAACTTGTACACCATACGCAACCTCTGACCACAAGGTGAAACGTACATTAACAAAAACACATCGTACTGACAAATCGCTTCAAAATCTCAGCCAGATTTCAACATAGCTATGTAACTGCAGTGTGCACCTCACCTAAACCAGGATGCATAAGGTTATCACATGATAAAGAAACATTATAGCTTGGAATAGAGCCCTAGTGAGCTGCCTCACAATGAAATTACCTTTTTCTTAGCTATCATTAAAATCCTGAACTTTTTGTTACTGACACAAGTCAGGAGTAATAAACTTAAATGATATAAAAGATATGACAGGCAATTATCCTCAGATACAACCTAAAAAAGATACTTTAATGTATTGTACTATAATGTACCTTGCACATCTCTTCCATAAAATGTAACCTCTATTGTGCCTTTCCAAAGAGTAGGAAGTGTGCTTATTCTAAGCTCAGATTTTTCATATGCTCTAGTCTCTTAAAAAAGAAAAAAAAAAAAAATCACCCAAGAAGTAACAACCAGCCTTTGATCTATAATTTCCTGTGCTGTTGCTAAACTCAGTGAATTTTTTGTGAAGGTTTAACTAAGGCTATGTAATGTTACTTTTGAGATCAATGTACTGATTTAATAACTAAAGCATTAAAGCTGGAAAAATCTTACACTGGGGATCAGACATAATGATGTTCTGCAGAATATGTGTCCTCATGTGTCCAGCTAGACCTTTGCATGTGATAGTAAATACAGCTGCATCTGCTTAAATTATAAGGAATTAAATTAACCTGCTGTGTCTACTTTTATACATATCAGATGGTCTGACTCCATCTCATCCTTCTCCTCTGAACACCTGCTGAATTGCCTCCCTAAATGCTATGATGCTGTCCATAAACTACAGCGTTGCGTGGTGGCCGTCTGAAGCCGTGGCAGTTCGTGCATGGTGCAGAGGAAAATGCAGATGCTTCAGAACACTCTTCATGAACACAGCTTAACAGTTTCTCTGCAGGCCTCCTGCTCAGTGTCTAGTGGCTTACCACCATCCTGGGATGGTTTTGGACATTTCGTACTCTGTCAGAGCCTGTAAAACCCAGTGCTCAGAAAGTGTGTCTTCCTTCAAAGGTGGCAACACTGCATCTTTCTGCACTGAGATGACAAGCCGCTCGGTGGTACTCTTCAGGTTATATCAGAGAATTTCCAGTTGGAAACCTTATGGAAATAATTCCACTGAGGCATACAGGAAAGAGCATTCTTTTAATCTCTTTGAACTATTGTCTGTCTAACAGGGTAAGTCTTGAGACGTGTGTGAGCAGCCTGAAACCCTAAGGTAAAAATTATCTCCAATTCATCTGACAAAAATAAGGACCCTTTCCAGTGTTTTGTTTCACTGGTGCAACATGAATCAGATTTGTGTTGTTTTCACATGGTTTCTGGTTTTGTTTTGAAATTTATTTCTGAATACTGCTGGTCTTTTCCATGTATGATAGAGCAGACTGAAGGGGCAATGTTTTGTTCACTGGCAACCTGATCGGTTTCGCAGCACAAAGGTATCATTTTCCAGTACAGTTAGATTTATTACGCTATAGTCCTATGAAATGGTTTGACATGCTTTCAACTAGTTAAATAACAATTTGATGGGATGTGAAAACCACAGGAGTCAGGAAGAAGGTAACAGCCTGTGAGTGGGCCTTATCTGTCTCGCTACGCTGACACTTATGGTTTCAGGGGAACTAAACACAACACATTCAGAAACCTAATGCAAGAAGTGACCTGAGTTGGGTTTCACATGGGAGTAGAGATTTCTGGTCTGGTTGCCAGTGACTATGTGAGACTAGTGTTTATGGATTTGGTACTTTGTAGAATGTGGAAGAAACCACAAAGAATCCTTCACTAAAGGGGGAAATGGTATGTATGAATGGGGAGTCTTAGGTCTCTGAAAAGAAAAAAATAAATCTACCTCCTCTTCTTTGTAAGGCAATCTCAGAATTAAAGTGACTTCAGGCTGACAGAGTAGCCAATAGCAGGAACTGGAGATACTAATTTTTGCGCAAACTTAGGACTGCAGTGGGTATCCATTAGGATAGTCACAGCATGTAACTTTGTAGAAATGTCTCATGCAGGAGAGTGATTAGATTTATTCTCTAAGTGGCCAACTTTTACAGTAGCTAGAACAATTGGCTATGCAATGGTTACTTTTCCTTTTGCTCTTTCAAAATGTACAGCAACACTTGTATGGCGACTGCAATTTGAGTAGTGCTACTTATTCAGAATCACCATTCCACTATCATTTAATAAAAAAATCTTTATTCTTGATGCAAAATGCATTTTAAATAAATAATTATCTTTCAACTCTTGAGCTCCCAGTAAAATATCTTCTATTAATAAAATTATAAATAGCAAGTGCCAGTTCTATGCCAGTTCTAACAGCACAGAAAAGAACACATTGTGAAGGAAAATGCACCAGGTTTTTGTCACCCAATTTTGTTGTTTATAAAGCAAGTGCTCGTGACAAAGATCATTCTGATTTCATAGTTCTTTAACTTAAACATAACTGTCACTTAAGCCTCTTAAGTCAATTATTTCATCACACACCCAGGAAAGTATATGTGGGCACACATCCATGGTGGCAAAAGATGTATGGCTGACCTATTTTCAGGCCTTGCTGTGGTGACTGCGTAACAAATACAGTAACATTTTTGCATATGCAAAAATCCATAGCTCCTCTTTAAAATGAGCCTGTGACCAAAGAACTAGTTCAGCTGAAAACAACAGTCAAAAGTCAAGATGGCTTCAGTTTTCTGAAAAATTGTAGTCAACTAAGGAGGAACTGATATGCATACCACTTCGCAAAGCTGAACCTTAGACCACCAAAAGCTTTACAAGTACACCAAGTGAAGTTTAGACTGAAGCAAAGAAGACACCTAAATACACTTGCATCTTGTTTTCAATTTTGGTTAAAAGTAATCTGCATAACTTTTTACACATGTTTAGAAACATCCCTTTCTGCTCTGACTTGCACAGAAGCACAGGTCTAAGACTTTTATATAGAATTAAAATTGTCTTGACTTGTGCTGTATTTTTGAAGTGATTTAATTTTGTTTTGAAGCATTTCCCCCATGTGTGCACTGAGTTTACTAACACTGTCCTGACCTTGGAAATGGTGTGATATTTTATGGTGTGCAGTGACATTTATGTGCCCAACTTGGCTCCAATAAATAGGTTAATTTCCACAAATTAAATGCCAGGTTTGAAACATTACAAGGTGATTTAATAATTCTGTATCGGCCTTTTGGATTCACAGTTGGGGCAGCTGACCGGATAGTCCTTTGTCAGCTGCAAATCCACAACTTCTACACTATTTTTTCTGGTGTAAAGGGTCAAACTAAAAGTGTGGGAAAAGAAATAGTCAGGTTTATAGTTTCACATATTCTTGAACACTAAAACCCCAAATACGTGGATCAATGAACAACTGACATATTTATGCTAGAGGAATGAGATCAAATTTCAGCCAATATTCCTTACACATCCCAAATTAGGAAATAAAGGTACTTAAATGATGGAAAGTATAATAAAAAAACCTTACTGTTAGTACAGAGTTAATGTTCAGACATTGGGAATAAAATTCAGAAATGTCCAATGGTAGATGCTGGACAAATACTTTATTTTGTCTTTCAGAATCAAACTGTGACTCATGGATTTGGATTTCACTTCATACAAACATCTACTGGATATTCAGTGCCGGCTTTGCTTCTTTAATATAACATTTTTTTACATGGTCTTGAATCTCCCCTTTCATTTGGCCTGAATTAACGTAATTTTGTTCCTACTAAATTACATATTAATCTTTACTATACGTGTTTATAAAAATCAGACAAGAATAAGAGGATCTATATGTGACCTTAAAATAAACTGAAGAACCTGGCAATGACAAGAAAGCACACTGATTTAAAATATTGTTCTTACAATTATTTTGCTTGTTCAAAGAACAGTTTACACATTATAGTTAGTAGCTAAACTGCAATTTAGCTTGAATTTCCAGAGTCTCATTCCAAGTTACTCTTTATTCTGGTTTTTAAGTAATGCATCTGAAGTTACTTCTGCTATGTATTCTCATTCTGGGGTAATCTTTCCAAAGGATATGAGTCACTTCTCCATTATTTGTAAAGAATATGGAAAAAGTAAAATATTATTATTTTGTGGGCATTTGGAACTGGATGTGAAAAAAAATAGGTGGGATGTTGATCATTGTGAGTCATTTCTTGGGAAGAAGGTATGAACAAACACTAGCTGCTGACCTACTGCTATGAAAGCCAAGGACTTACTGCTGACTCAAGAAGCAGATATTGATAGCTGCAGAATACACAGGAGATCTTGCAGCAGGATTAGAGAGGAGAGTCTTTACTCTTTAAGTAATAAGGAGTACTAAGGAGCTGCCTGTGTTGGTTTCTTGGAGGCTATTATTTGTTTAACAATCTTCTCGTTTAAACACGTTAGCCCATTAGAACTATACCCTGCAAATAGTTGCTACAACTAAATGAGTCTCCTTCTGAGTTTCCAAAAGTCCTGGCAAATCTTCAGGTAGGTAATAAAGTGCAAGGCTGAACTCCATAGCACTGAGGTCATTACACCAGTAACTCCCACTGCAATCCCCTACTGTTCTGGAGTCTTTCACCAGTCCTAGTTGGTATAAATATTGGTATAAACAAAACTGGAGCAATGTAAATACTGTGTAACACATTTGCATTCATATCAACTAATTGAAAAAAAAAAACTTGTTTTGATACCAAAACTGATTTCTGAAAGTGACTTTGTATCATTGTGGCCTTTGTATACTTTATACCAATCACACAGCTGCACTGGGACCTACTCACTTACATGTGTAACTACACAAACTACCCATAAAGCACACACAGCACGAAAAACAATGCATTTAATAATGATAACTATACTTATGATTTGCCTGTTTTTTCAAGCTGCAGTGGACACACTATGATAAAACTTGATAATTATCTTCTCTGCAGGTGTTGTTTGTTTGTTTGTTGTTGTTATTTTTTTAAAGTTAGGAAAGCTTCTTTCCAAATACAAGAATGCAGTTCTATAGCAGCTCGAGCCAATTTAAGTTGTGCCTGCTACTCTTCTCTGCCTCTTCTCATTCTCTTCCTGTATAAAAAAGATGTTTTTGCGCTAGCACAGGCACTTGAGCAACTCAGTAGTGGGCCAGTTCAGAGTGCTGATTGAAAACTAATTCTAAACACAGATTGCAATACTGGTAAGTGATGAATTGGGAACGAGCAGCAGGGTAGGAAGGATTGTCAGGAACATGGCAGTCTGTATTTATCTTTGAAAAAGCTGCTGTGAAACTGAGACTGAATGGAGGCTTTCATGGAGAAACAGTTATAAAAATGTGCTGTCATTACAAAGTAAGTTTTTTAAAGACTTACAATAAATATTTTAAAATCATAGTCTTACTAATGCTAATAAAAGCAGTACCTGCTCTGTGATCTTTATATGAGTTTATTCATTGTTACTTCTAAGTAAACCTGAAGCAGTGTTAACAGCTTGGATACCATAGATTTCAAAAAAATCAGTGACAAGTAAAATGGTACATTAAAATGTTCACACTTTACCAAAATGATTGTGGATGTTTACATAAATCATTTTTAAAGCATAAATGTTTAACAGTCCAACGGTCCATGGTAGAATGTAAACTTAGGGATGCAGGTGGATCTCTGTTCCTGTTATGTCTTAATGTCAGTCAGAGGGCTCACGTGGCCACTTTAAATCCTTAAAAAAGGTACCTTTGCAGCTTTGGATTTGAAAACCACGTTCAAGTTCCAACCCTGGAACAGCTGATCTCCAGCCAATAAACCCCTGGGTAGTCTTAGGTACTGGAGGAGATGGCATCACCTAGAATAAAAGTAACATGTTGAATTCAATGATCAAAAGGTTTTTGTTTGTAATTTCTGTCATGCAGCATCCTCTTTTGTGCTGTAGTTTGGATGGAAATGAAAACGTATAAAAAAATAGTGGTTTTAAATGCAATCTGCTGAATTAATATCCTGAATACACACTGACATTAATGGAAGGAAATAAGAACTTCAAAAGATAGTCCAGTTGCATGCAAGTTTGATTCATAATACAGGATAGTTTATAATGTAAAAAGTCATTAGAATAATTTAGGTCCCATTCTATAGCAAGGC